TATATATATATATATATGTATACAGACTTGAAATTTGGCTTGAGTGTGTGAAATCTAATGCGTGGATAATTGAATTTTGTACTCATGTAACTGATATGAGACTGTAATGTTTTATTTGTTAATTGAAATCTGTTTATGTTTCTAACAATTACTCTTGTGGTGGCTTGATTTTCCTATGAGAAAGAAAATTAAGGTGGTTTGGACGTATTACCTTTAGCAATTTTTTGGGAATTGTGGAAAGTGAGAAACGAATGGATATTTTGATGTTATTGTGATATTTTGTTATTGATATATCATGACAAAATTATTTTGTTATTTATATAAATACACCATATATATACATTATATTTTTATGTTTCAATGTTAAATTACTAAGTATCAGAAAGTGGTTGTGGATGGCAGAAAGTGTTTCACTATATAGTCTATTGGCTTCACATGACTATGTCATCTTGGTGCCTATGCACAAGCTGCTCAATCTACTGTCGTAGTTCTCTTTAACCACCTGAAGAACAGCTGTCCCTTTGCTCTCATCCTAAGTTGTACCTTAGCTTGACTCTTGTCTTGTTTCTGTTGCATTCAATGATCTAGCGTTAACATGCCCTTTCAACTCATCTTTCACAAGAACATCTATATTCATAGCTCCATTTTCAACTTATCGTTTACAAGATAGAATTTGCATTGTGGCGATGCTTAATTTGAAGTGACTGTTAGAACTAGAGCATTCCTTTTCTGATACAAAATATAAGAACTTGATCCTTATTCTTCACACTACTAATTTAGCAGGTTGTGGACCCCAAAGAAAAGGAAATAGCAATTGTCACGCATAGTGGATTCTTGTTCCATGTGCAGTTGGCAATGATTGTCACCCTTTGATTAAAAAAGAAATTTCCAAGCAGTAAGTGCCCACGATGCTTAGCTGTGATTTTGGTAATCTTCGGAAACGAACCTGTAGTTTGCAAGATTGTCTTCTTTTCATGTGGGTGGTCAAAATCTTTTTATTTTTAGGGGTGGGTGATTATCATTTGAACCTATAAGTTCATTCAAAAATTACCCCTGAGATGGTTTTGCTTGAAATGCAGCCAAAAAGAGAAATAAAAACAAAATGTCCATAGCTATAATTGTCCTTTTGGTGGAAATATAAAACTATGTTTACTTTTTTTTCCATACATATTTATTCACACACACTTCTATAGTTGCTTCACTGAATGACATTTGCAACATGTTTTTGTAGTTTTGCAAATTGTGAGCTTCGCTCTATGGTCATTGTGGACAAAAGGTAACCTTTTCATTCTGTTGCCTATGAATTCCTCTAATTGTCAGTTTTCTTAGTTTTGATTCTTATCTATCCTACAGCATGTCAGGATTAGATCCCCCGACAATGAATTATCCAGGGAAAATTCCTCCCGGGCCCGATGCCCCTAGCGATGTTGTGGATGAGAAGAACTGAAGAAAGACATCCCCAATTCCTGATTTGCAGGGATAAAGAACTTCCAATTCATTAGCTTTAGAGGTATTGCTATATTGAACTGAATGACCCCAACATGACAATGGAACAACATTCCTAAAACACTTGCTCATAGAACTTGATATAACGTATGTCATTCTGGATTTAAAAAATTCAACAAGTTTGATAAAAATAAAAAATATTTTTTTTTTAAAAAATGAGGTGGCTAGTAGAAGGCATTCTTTGGAGATGAAGATTTATAGAATTATCACTTTTAAGTTTCTTGTGTGTAACTTAAATTAACATTTGGCCCTGCCTTTGTGAGTCACATCTTCACAATTTTGCACACCATAGTTTGCTGTGACTTAAATGGACTGTTTATATTTATAAATAATAATAATAAATTATTTTGATTTAAAAGAGAGGGATGTTTTTTGTTTATGCTTAAATATTATCGACTTTCCAACAAATAGGCGAGAGTCTAGCTTTACATTTTTCAGTTCCCAATTGCACCTCGAGCATGGTTAAAAGTGTCATCTAATTTTGGCCCTCTTTCAATGTAGCATGGCTGAAAAGCACACCAACCTGTCATTTGAAATTGTGATGGGTTGCTTGACCTCGTTTCTTTTCTTTTCTTTTTTTGGAACCTGTTTTTTAATTTATTTTTTTTGGGGTTAAATTTGATAATAATTTTTAAAAAGCTTAAAGAAAAAGCCATGAATTGTTTCTAAACGCCCTGAACAAACTGTATTTTTTTTTAAGAAAGGGCCCTGAACTAACTTATTTGTTATAATTGTTTTACAGAGCAATGTTGTAATAACATTGACAATATTAAATTATACTCTAATTTCTTGACGATGCCACCAATGTATTCAATACTTGCATATTATAGTAACCCTATAATTCAATCATTTTCACTTTAGCATTTGTTCAGATTTCAAATGAACAATTTCAACTTTAAATATGCAAATAGTTATTACAGGTGGATTTAAAATCCAAGGGAAAGGATTGAAGCAGATAAGTTATATATGATTCTTGAATATCATTTTTGAACAACGAAATCTTCTGCATAAAATAAAGCTTTTTTAACCATATATTTGAAATCCATTCATAATAAATAACCTAAATTCTTCCATCTCTCTTTTATATATATAAATGTGAAACTTTAAGGCACAATCATTATACGATTAAAATCAAATGCTTCTGGGTTGGTATTTGGTGGTCTGCGTGTTGCTTCCGGATGCACCGGAGAAGGGTGTGGCTGCCATGGGCCTTGGCAGGGGAGGGGGAATGGTGGTGACCATGCTCACCTCTGAAGCTCTTGCAGTTGCAGCGCCACTCGGGCCTGCATTGCTGTTACGGTTGAAAGTCCTCCTTGGTTGCTCCCTATCTTGGTCGATCAGACCCTGTTTCATTGCATCTTCAATCTGTACCCCCATCTCGTGCAGATCTGAAAAAGTGGGGAAGGGGAGTACAATCATCTTTTGCATCAACTTTGGCTGGAGATTGCGCACAATCATCCTGATTTGGTCTTTATCGATGGGCCTTAAAGTCATCATCGAGGCCTTCGCCCTCCACCGGGTTACGAAATCCGAGAAACTCTCATTGGGCTCCTGCCTTGTTGTTTCGAGATCACGAGTTGTAATCTCAATTTGGGTGTTGTAAGAGTATTGCGCAACAAAGGCTTCAACCATTTCATCCCAACTCCGCCTGACATCATCCTCCAACTTTGCATACCAGATGGCGGCTACACCTGACAGGGTCCGGCCAAATAGTGAAAGCTTCTGGGGTCTAGTTAGGCCCATTGGCTGCAGTATATCTGAGAATAGCCGAAGGTGGACCATGTGATCCCCAGACCCGTCGAAGCGATCGATCTGCGGCATTTTGAATCTATCCGGCAACGTCACGGCCACATCGGTATATCCGTCCTTGATATCTGGGATAGCCTTTACCCCCTGGGATTTTTTGAATAGCTTCTCAAGCTTGCTCAATTTCAATGCTGTATGGTCTACCTCGAACTCGAAGGGAGAGTCCGGTTGATTGACAGGCGTAGGTGCCTTAGATAGCTGGGGCAGAATTGGGGGCGGAGCTGGCCCTGTTGGTATGTCCGTATCTTCCTGGACATTTGGTGCCTCTTCGGGTGCTGGGATTCCCGGTGGGGGAGGAATCGGGTGTGACGCAGATACTCTGGCTTGTTGTTGCAGCCTGGCAATTAATTCTGCTTGCTGGGCCATGATCTCGGCCTGTTGTTTGGCAAACTCATCCCGGCGAACAGCGTCCTGCTGCATGGCTCTCACGGTCTCTTGCATCTGACGCATCATTTCCTCAACTCCTGTCGGTGTCGCCATACTACCCTGATTTATCTGAACTATTGGCAGGTCTATTTCTATAGCAACAATCGGGATCTCAATCTGGCTGTCTACTGATGGGGTAATCCACTGCTCTGGCAACCTCTGCTCGGATACACTGCATTTTCTTGGCCTCCGTCTAATAAGTGGGAGTAGAGAGTGAAACACTGGCTGTCCGTCAACTAGATCCTCGGATCGATTGAGACGGCGACCTCTTGTCCAGGGTGCTTGGGGAATATCTACTTGGTCGGATGCAATTGTGCTAAAACTGCCCTAGTAAAAGATAAATAAAGCAATAAGGAAATAAACAGATAAACGGACAGCATAACAACTTAAAGTAAATGCACAACACATAGCCAGGCATAACAACACACGGTAAGCTGAACACACACTGTCCTCAATCACCGATTACTATCCCTGAATTACTGTCCCCAAAGACTGAATCTGATACCCGCAGATAACTGATTCTCAAACACTTACTGATGCCCGCAGGCCTGATGCCCTAAACTCTCAAACTGATACATGCAACCCCTGTAGAGACACACTATGACAGCACATAACAGATAATTGAGAGCCAAAACACCCCTATGTTGGGGTAGGGTTTCCCTGTCCTATTTTGTCAGGAGCTAGGGTTTCACTACACACGCAACGGTTTCAAACAACCTAAATCGGGTAAGCAACCTGTCCGAGTTTGGAATGGTCACTATGAATCCGAATATGCATTAGGTCGAATGGTCAAAAAGGGTGCCCTGGTAAAACTGGGGTTTGTGTTCCCATACTGGCAGAGCCCATAACCGGTCAGCCTTATGGTCATGCCTTGACAAGACAAGCCTCCGGCAAACCGTTCAGGAATAGCAGATGGCAAACACGGTGTCCTAGGCGCACCAATGCACATGCAATGCAAAGAAACACATAAGTGTAGTTAAAAACAGATATCATGAGTTCGAGTCAAGTTCTCTAACTCCCCAGCAGAGTCGGCAAAAACTGTAGACGTCCCCGAACGCCCCGGGAGGGATGGCTCCCATTCCGTTCGTATTGGGCTCACTACAGTTCAGGACTCTCAAATTGTCACGATTCTTAATCTGAACCAAAGAGTCCAAATCCGGCAAATTATTTTGAGAAAACAGATTTTGAAAGAAGTGCCAAATATGGACTGCTTTGCCAGATACAGAGTCGCCACCTAAATGTTTTAGTTTGGGGAAATTTAAGATGCTGTCGGTTGCTTTCGGTGGAGTGATTGCACAGGTGAGCAACTTTAACAACAGTTGATTGATTGAATAGTGAAAGTGAACAGTAAAAGTGACCAGTAACTTTTACTATTCATTACTTTCGGTGGAACATGTGATTAATGGAATCAATATAAATACAAATTGGCAGCTTTTCTTAAAAGAGTATTGACTAAAGCTAATTGTGAGCACCCCCGCTCGCCCGATCAAAGATCGGCCTCTACTAACCATGATATCTATTTTTGAAAACATTATGCGTTCTTATTCCGGTTATTAGCCTAGATTTACTATGTGATGCGCACAGTATACAAGTATAGACTGGATCGTCTGAATTGGAACAAAACATTTCATGTTTATTTTTTAAAGTGGTTTGATGGTGCTACTTGCAAGTAGGCTAAGACGTGGATTTGCCACCCTCGGGTGGGCTTAGAAAAAAATGGTTTTGTCACTATCTAGTGGGCTTAAAACTTACACTTAATGAATTGTTCCAATCCAAATAACCCAACCTTCACCCATAGGCATTCAGGCAGTTATATCACATAAGCATATAGCCTCATGGTAAGCATGCTATTCATGGCAGTCACTCACACGCATGCAAGGATGCTAAAGCATAAAACTTACCGAGTACTCCAAGCCAAAACAGAAGCTAATTAGAAATCCATGCATGATCCTAATTATACAGAAATGCCTAATGCAACACATATAAAAATGCAACTATAGCAGGCTCGACTATTCTAGACATGGCATATGAAATGCTACAACTAACATGTATTCATCTTGGAATTGAAAATACAATGCAGTTAGTATGATACGCCGAGCCCGGTGCATGCAAACCGGATGAATGAATGCAAACATGCTATCATACTGTATGCTAATTGAAACATTCCCTAATCTAACCATCATAAGCGGGTAAATAAAAGGGAGAAAGACGTGGGGTTGGAAGACATACATCACACACACGCACACTTATTACAACATTGCCCTCGCGCAGAAGGTCCGAATAAATAATACAGTCCGAATGTCCGAATAAATAATACAGTCCAAATAAGTACAAAACTCTAATTAAATAACAAATTAATCTAGGAAAGCAGTAAATTAGTATGCAAGCTATGGACTGCCTCAGCTCTGCTCCGGATGATAAATGATGCATGCTTGAGTTGCCTTGTGCGGAAATCCACTGTGATGCCCCAATTAGCCTCTGTTTGCAATTGTTCTTGAAATGCGTGCCAAGCTCCGGAAGGCTGCTGATTCTTGATTTGCTGTAACAGAGAGCAACAAAGGGGCATGGCAAAGTATTTTCACATATGTATGCATGACTACTCTTCAGGGAGTGTAGTCCTCGATCTTCATGCCACCAATCACGCATCTCGATGCATGATGGCCGAGAAGTCGAATTGCACGACTCAATATGAAATGAATGCTCATATAAACACAACAAGACCTAAACTCCATCATGGATAATCCGGAGTGTCGGTGACTGGGAATTGAGATACGTTCCGTCACTCGAAGTACGAAACGTCCCTCGTTTCCCGTGCTCGGGCTAACTCCTATCCCCAGCACAATGCAATATGCATGACATGCATGAATGCAACTAATATACAACCTAACATGCACAATGCTATGAAATGGCATACA